AGAGTCTGTTAAAAATCTTTTGTGCCCAATCCATTTTTCTTCTTTCTTTTTTTACTGGCCTGCCTTCTGGTGTTTGTGTCTGTGAGGGGCACTGGACATTGATCACAGGGGCACTGCCACAGAGCCACATTTCCAGACTTCTTTTATATTTTGGGACAGGGTCTCACTAAGTAGCAGAGTCTGGCCTCAAACTTGTGATCCTCCTGCCTCAGCATCCTGAGTGACTGGGATTACAGCCCACCACGCCTGGCTTTGTTTTCCTTTTTATTGTTGAGTTGTAGGAGTTCCAATGTTAAATTCTGAAGAGGAATTTAATACCATTCCTCTTTGGAATTTAATATGCCCTATGGGGAATATATTCATGAAGGAGTTTTTAAATGGTCTTTAGGTAAACAGCCATATTTTCTATCAAGATCCAAATTTGGTATCTGGCAAGTCTGCCAAAATATATCCCAACCAATGAGGAAGGACATGTCAAAAAGATGTCCTTATCTCATGTCCTCATTTCTGCCTGCATTTACTGTTCCTGGAATAGTAGGAAGGCCAAATCCCTACCAGCCTTTAATCCATATAAGCAAAAGCAACCCCAGTGTTACTTCCTCATCTGCAAAATGGAGAAACATACTTTCAGAGTCACTGTTAGGATTAGAAATTATGTACATGTAGGATCTGGAATGTAATATGTGACTAATAATACCATTTTCTTATCAGGTAGGTATTATCTCCATTTTGATTGCAGTAAGTGGTGGAATCAGAGTCTACATTACCAACTTCAAAATAACTTTTTTTAAAAAATTTTTTAGATGTTTATGGACCTTTATTTTATTCATTTATTTATATGGGTGCTGAAAATCGAACCCAGTGCCTCACACATGTTGGGCAAGTGCTCTACCACTGAGCCACAACCCCAGCCTGCAAAATAACTTTTTTTTTTTTTTAAAGGCAGCTGCCAACATTGATATTTTGTATTTCTGTGCTCTACTGTTTCTCTTTGAAATGAACTGTCCCCATCATTCATAACCCAGCCACCTCCAATGAAGACTCCGCCCACTAGTGGGCTACAGTTCCTGCGGTATTTCTGCTCTAGCACTCATCACCTTATATTTCCATAGTCTGTGGCCGTATCTGTTCCTAGAAGAGCTCTTGGTCACCTTAGTATTTTGGTTGCCTGTGCAAGTGACTAGCACCCAGCAATGTACTCAACACTGAATGAGCAAAGGAGCAAGACAACATCCCCACAGTCCTGTCTTGTCCCCACATTGCCATGCTGTTTTGAGAGTCAAGTTCTCCTGAGGATTGCTGCAGTGAGCTTTCAAGGAAATCTTCTAAGCTGTAGTCCCTCGAATTTCCTCCAAAATATAGAGTTCTATGACGATGACTTGTCTTCTTCCCTCCTCTCCAGAGTCTGTCAGGATGTCCACCCAGTCATAAGTCTAAGCAACAGAAAGAAGCCACACTGTGGCTTGGAGACTGAAAGCTAGGCTCCTTGAATTGGAATTGGCTCCAAATCATCCCATCTCCAAGGGCACTTTGTGGCCTCAATAAAACAGTCAGCTGGAGATGATGCCTCTGAAGGCCAGCCAACTGGCTGTGGTTTGGCAGGAGGAGAGGTCATTGTCTCAACCAGGAGAGGTCATTGTCTCAACCAGGAAGTGGTCCTGTGGTCTCAGTTGACCCTAGACTTTTCCAGACAGAGCCTGGGCTCATAGTAGTAAATGAAGGCTTCCCATAGACTCACAAACAATTCCGCTCCTCAAGAGGCCTGCAGCTCTCTCTCCAGTCAGGATCCCTGTCCCAAACCCCACAATCTTAGCATTGTGCGCTTGGGGTACTAAAAATTTATTGGAATGTTGACAGCCACCAAACCAGTACAGATTCCCATCATTCACCCTGGAGGGGAGGGGGTTGATTCCAGATCTGGGAAGTACTGCATATCCAGAGCCCAAGAGAAGGCTTGGCCAGTCAGATTGGAGGTAGAGCCTTGCTAAAGAAAGGGTCAGGACGTGAGAAGGCACCAGAGGACAAAGACTCTTCTGAGTCCAGAAAAGTCATAAGCAACCCAGAAAAATCCCCAAGGTTATTATGAGACTGGGCCTTGGCCCAGTTTAGTGAATGATCTCAACATGGACCCAGAGACTTTTGGACAAAAAGGTACTCATTCCACAAGCTTCCTAGAGACAGGGAAAGACTAATGGACATGACTACATCCCTGGAGCTCGCATGAGTTTCTCTTTAGGAAAAGCACTTAGGAATGGTAATTTATAATGGCCTCCTGAAGGGGAAGAAGCAGGATGAGACAATAGGAAGATGGAGGCCCTGTCACTCAGACCGGAAAACACAAAGAACTTTAGGATTTTAGGCTGAAGGTCACTGATCCATGGCTGGTGTTTGATATATGAAGAGAAGTGGAATGACTTTTTAGAACGTGAGACATGAACTGATGTTCCTTAAGGCCAGGTCCCCCTTTCATTCGACACTCCCTGGCTTCACTTACCACCTGTACACTGGTAACTTATCTATTTATTCTTCCAGCTCAATCCTCTCACCCAAATTCCACATGCATGGATCCAGGTTCCCACTCAACATGTCTAAAACAAACTTATAACCTTCCCAAACACGGTTCTCTCCTAAACTCCCATCTTGGTAAAGAGCACTCCAACCCATTCTGATGTAGGAGGCTAGAAATAATGGTGGCACTTTTGACTCCTCCTCCTTTCACATTCACCCTTTAAATTTTTGGAATTTGCCCCCTGAATCTTCTTTCATTCCACTTTTCTCCACCCTAGCGCCTTATCTCTTGGCTGAATGGCTGTGATCATCTTCTGGTTTCCAGGGATTCCTTCTGAACTCCTTGAATCTTTATTCCACAAGAGACCTTCCAGCCATTCTTCCCTCATTTATTCCTACTCTTCAAGCAAATCTTAGCTCAAGTGCCATTTCCTCAAGGGAAATACCCTGGGGACCTCTCTGAATAGGCTAACTCCTTCCTAGAACTTGTCATAGTTACACCTTTACATTTGGGCCCCCTCTAGACAATAACTTCATGACAGCAGAGACTCTGTCCACCCAACCATCCCAACCCCATCTATAAGGTCATGCTCAGTGTCTTGCACATGCTAAATCCCAAAAGTTAATATCTGTTCAATGAATAATATCACTTGTTTACACCCCAATTCAACCCAAGTAAGCTAATCATCACTGCTGTCTTCTGGGCCACCACTCTCTCTCACACACACAGGTTATCTGTCTTGAGCCTGTCCTCCAATACTCTCTACACTGCTGTCAGAATTAGCTTTTAAATATGCAAATCCAGCCACTTATAATCCTTCATTACTTCCAATAAAGTTCAGCTCTTAACATGTAAACTGCTCATTACCTACCCAACGACTACTGTCCTCTTGTTCCCTAGTAACAAAACCCTGATTCTGTCAAGACAGCAGAGTACCCTGTCAAAGGACTATTCCAGCTCTCCACCAGCCAGGATATTTCTCAGAGATGACAGGAAGTACAAAAATCAGATGCATTGGTAATTCAGGAACTTGAAAGGGTTATTTTATTTCCAAAACCCAGAATTTCCTTTCTTTTAGTTAATGCTGTGTCCCTGTCTATAAAATATCCACAAATGAAACATTTCCTGTGTTACCAAGTTCTGGCCAATGAGACGAAAATAGATGCGATTGCTCAGAATTTCGAAAAATGCTTCATAAATTGAGAAAAGACATCAGGCTATGCCCTCTTTGCCTAAATCCATTTCTTCTGCTGTCAGTTTCAAAGTCATGATGGCTGGGGCTTTGGCAGCCATCCTATACATGAAGTATCCATAAGCATGAAAATCATGTGTCCTGAACAATTGAGCAAAAAACCAAAAAGGAGCCCAGTTCTCAGTGATAGAGCTTCCGTACAGCTATAGCCCTGCATCCTTGGACTTTTTTTTTTCTTAACCTTTATTATTTATTTAATGTGGTGCTGAGAATCAAACCCAGTGCCTCCCACTGAGCCACAACCCAGCCCCTGGACTTCTTTCATATGAGGAAATATATTTATATCTTAAGTCATGATCTTCACTGGCAGTCCAACTGAAACCTGGAACAGGCTTCAAAGCACCTGACCTTTATCAATCTTTTTCCCCCCAGTACTGGAGATTAAACCCAGAGGTGCGCTACTACTAAGCTATATCCCTCTAGACCTTTGTATTTTTTGAGACAGGGTCTAAGTTGCCCAGTCTGGCCTCATTCTTGAAATCTTCCTGCCTCAGCATCCCAAGCTGGGATTACAGACACACACAACACAACTGGTACCTTTGTCAATCTTTCCCTTTCCCATTTTGTCCTCAAATCCAACAATTTAGCCAAACCAAATGCTTTTCAGGTCCTCAAGGATACATTCTCCCCATTTAAAGTCTCTACAAGCTGCTTCTGCTGCTTGCCTAGCCCTTGCCCCTTCCTGGCCTAACTCCTAAGCATCCTTCACATCTCTGCTAAAAACCTCAACTCTCAATTATCAACCAAGTTAGGATAAAATGCTTCTACTTTCTGTTACCAGAGTAGTACTTCATCTTGCTACTTAATACACTGTGAATTTTCCCTTCTGTGTCCATGAAGGCAGAGATATAGCTTGTCTTCCTCAGAACTGCATTCCACACACCTAGCAGGTGTTCAATCAGTATTTCTTTAAAAAAAAAAAAATGGGGTTGCTAGACATGGTGGCGCACATCTATAATCCCAGAAGCTGGAGAAGCGGAGGCAGGAGGATCCCGAGTTCAAAGCCAGCCTCAGCAATTTAGCGAGGCACTACGCAACTCAGTGAGACCCTGTCTGTAATAAAATACAAAATAGGGCTGTGGATATGGCTCAGTGGTGGGGTGCCCCTGAGTTCAATCCCTGGTACCCGGCCCCTCCCCCCCAAAATGGAGTCAATGAGTGATGGGGATATGATGTTGGTGAGAAAGTAGACATAGAGTGGGTTGGATATCTCTATGACGTGAAAAATGAAGTGGAATGGTTGGTATATTATTTTTGTTTATTATTTATACTGTGTCTTGTTCCAAAAAGGATGTAAGGAGGCAGGATAACTGGCGTTCCACCTCATATGGAGTGCTAAGGAGTTCACATCCACTTAGAGACACTGGTTTAGGAGGCTCTACTGGAAAACTACAGGATGATTTGAGGGAGGGAGGAGTGCTAAGAAAAGCAATAGCATCTTGTCCTTCCTCATCTTCCAACTCCCCATTTAAAAGTCCTACCTCAGAAGTAAGCCAAAAACTGGTGGAAGGGTTGCAGCGGGAAAAGGTTAGCAGAAAAGCAGGAGAGGGTTAACGCTCAGAGAGGTACACTATCCCACCATCCTCCCCTCCTTTTGGTGCTGACTGTAAGCGTAGTGTCTGGTCTTCTCCTGAAGAGCTCTGGCTGGGCCTGGGGTCCCACTTGGAGAATAGCCAGCTTGGTCAGTCTGCAGCAGGGGGCCGCTGCTAGCTGCAGGTTCCAGGCTCTGCTCCTCTATCACCCCCATCTTCCTCCTCATCAGACTGTGCCAAGGGTGTATCTGCTCCACCATCACTTGGATTTGGACTATGCAGGTTGGTGGAAGAGTCAGAAGACAAGGAGGAGGTCCGGGATGTAGTCCTGTCTGGCGCTGGCAATGGCAGGCTCAGCTCCTCTAGATGGTCATCCACCCCTGCCCAGAGAGAAGAACTGGTTAGAGCCACAAATGGTTTCAGAGGACTTTTAAGAGCTATCTGGCCAGAGAAACTGAACCCCAGAGAGGGCAGGTACTTGTCCAAAATCATCTGCCAGTCCGGTGAAGAACCAGGATTAGGACCTTCATCTCCTGGCTCCCAGATCCTTCCACATCATTACACCGTGTCTGGACTTGAGTCAGGTCAGTTAATGAAAGAGTTCAAGTTCTATGTACATCATTCACTTTCTGGTGAAGAGCTTTGGACAAGTCACTTTCCCTCCTAAGGACTCTACTCTTCCTATGTAAAAATAAATAAATAAATAAATAAAGGGGGGAGGTTACCTACATTCCCAAAAGGTTTTGAGAATAAAACCTGATAATGCTTAAACAATACCTGGTATAGCAGGCCATCAGGGAACAGGAGCAGGTTTAAATAAGAGAGTATCTTAAAGTTAAGCACAGGGGCTGTTGAGTCAGGTGATCCTTTTTTCCACTTTAAGGCTACAGTGTAACTGAACTTCTCTGAGCCTTATTTCCTTCCTATAAAATGGAGTATTGCCAGGTGCGATGGCTCAAGCCTGAAAACACCTCAGGAGGCTGAGGTAGGAAAATGGCGTGTTCAAAACCAGCCTCAGCAACTTAGCAAGGCCCTAAGCAACTTGTGAGACCCTGTCACTAAACACAATATAAAAAGGGCTGGGGATGTGGCTCAGTGGTTAAGCACCCTGGTTTCAATCCCTAGTACCCCACGCCCCCAAATGGAGACTATTTCCATTCTTCTGGGGGAAGAAAGAAAGAAAGAAAGAGATAAAGAAAGAGAGAAAGAAAGAAAATAAATGGAGATTATATACCTGCCCTGAAAGGAAATTTTAAGTATTGAAATAACTTATATATAAAGGATGTTACCACAGTATTAGGAACCTAGTAAAGTGCTCAGTAAATAATGACTAAAATCACTAGTCTAATTAAAAATTATATTTTACATTATTTTTATTGTAGTAATTACATTAGTTTCACAAATATAAAATTAAAAAGGCTAAGGAGGTTGGCCAATCCTAGAATTTTGGCCTAGGAATCTATAACCCAGTTTCCCCTCAGGGTCAACTTCCTTAAAATCAGAACTGAAACCTATTTCACTGGCAGACACCCACTTCCAGTCCCTACTTGAATTCTTCCCCAGTTCAGCTGTGCAGCCTCAATATTCAGCTCCAGTAAACTGGTTCCCAAGTCCCTAAAGCAGAGGCATACCAGAAGTCTGGGGCGTTGGTGGAGGATCTTCACAAGGCAAGAACACGTCTGTTCCATCCTGATCCCCGAGATCAATAAGTTCTACTTGTTCCAGTGTGTCTACATTCACTTCCATGGATGAGATACTACCTATGGGGGCTGTGGATCAAAAAGGGGATAAGTCAGGAGGACCTAGGATGAAGCTGACAGGATGCTCAGAGTTACCCATCAGATTACAAGTTACAAGTTCATCCAGCTAAGAACACAAGAGGGATATGGCCCCAGAGATGCAGGACCCCCTGGATACCCTCCTCACACTACCCCAAAACTGCACCTCAGGACATGGAACTTACGCCTCTGTGACTCAAGATGCAGGTGGGACAGAGGGAAGACAAATTCTGTCTCTGGCTGTAAAATGTCCTCGAAGAATTTCTGCCTCTCCCGAAGGCGGAGCTGTTGCCGCTCCAGGGCTGCCCGAGGATTTGGGTCCATGTCAGCCCCTGGAAAGATAATAAGCAAGACAAGTACAGCTGTGAAGTTGAGAAAAACAACAGTGGGACCTGGGCCTCGGGAACCCCACAGCAGCCAGCATCCCAGCAGTGGGGTTTCTGGTTCCAGCTGGACGACTCTGGCCTCAGCTACTCTTTCCCCTGCTCTGAAACAAAGTCCTTCCTACAAGCTTCAAGTCCTATGTAGAGGCAGAGCCTGCCCCAGCTCTACAAAGGGGATGCCAGTTCCAGGCACCAGAAAAGGCTCTCTGTATTCAGGGAAGGCAGCCAAAGGCCAACTCTCATAGTATGCCCTTCTGACCGGGTTGGGGAGGCTAGTCCAGCCCAAATGATATTTTCTCCATTTAACGGACCCAAGTCCCTTCAGAAGGCCAGGGAAGAGGAAAGGATGGAGATGGTAGGGTAGAAAGTCCTCTTCCACTAGTGCAACCCCTCTTCTCTCCCCTCTTAAACACATACACATCATCCCCATCATCTCCAAACTCTTGCTTTGAAGTCACCTATCTTTCAGACTTGGATGCCCTAAGGAAAATATCTTTTGCAGTCTCCCCATCTGAAAAGGTATAGTGGTCCTACCTTCCTGAGAACACGGCTTGTGAAGGTGAGCTATTTAGAGAACCACCATCTTGTCTCTGAACTCCAACAGTTCTTTATTTGTTCCCCTCTTCCGACACATCTCACCATCTTATCTCCCTACTGGCCAATGAGTAGGAATTGGAAAGGCAGATTGTGGGTCCAATTCAGGCCAGGCCTCTTGACTCCCAGGGCTGAGAGCTTTCCAGAATACCAAAAGTTCCAGGCCAGTCCAGGCCCTGTGCATTCACTTCCATTCATTCAATCTCATTCCTAGCATTCTGCTCTGAACCCATCACCAGGGCAGGATAGTTTCCAGCTTGGGACCACATCTGCATCCTCCACGGGCCATCTCATCTGGACTCAGTCTATCTCAGGCTAGGGCCTGCTCCAAAGGCGCTGGGGCCAGCTCAAGACGGATCCAAACCCGAGCGGGCCAGGGAGTGCTACGACGGGGAGCCAGTGTGGCCACGATTCGGCCACGGAGAAGGGAGGCGCTGACGCCGATTCCTGGGAAAGGCTCTTAGAGCTGCCGCCCAGGTCACAACGCTAAAAATATCCAGGGCCCCTGGGGCCGTCTGCGCTTGCAGGGGGGAAGGGGAGGGAGAAACCCAGGGGGGAACTGACAGGACCGGGGGCTCCGGGACGCCCCCTCTCTTTCCCCTCCCCCTGACCCCATTGGTTTCACCAGATTGAACGGGCTGGCCACCTGGGGCCACAGAGCCGTGACTGGAGCAAGGGAGTTGTTTACGCGACCACAGGTGCTGGGGAAAGAGTGAAGAGATTTGGGGCAGGAGGCTGCCAGGGGACCAGGCAGGAGCAGTGAAATGGAGAACTCCCTCTCTGTCTCAGCCCCACCCGCACTAGAGTAAGCAGAAGAAGAATTCCCCAAAAAGGGACACGCCGCGTCCGCGGGGGGAAGGGAGGGGTCAAAAGAGGGCGCTACCCACCCCCGGCACTTCCACTGGTGCTCGGGTCCCCTCCGTTGTCCCTGGAGTCACCTGCGCCCACCGTCGCCGGAGCCCCTACCTGCAGCGCCCGGCGCCCCCGCTGACTCAGTCTGTCCGCTCCAGCTAGGCGGCGGCGGCGGGGGCGTGGGAGCGAGCCGCGCCGGCCGGGGTGGGGCTGCGCCTCCGGGTCTCCCCCGGGACCGACGGCTCTGGGAGCCGGGAACGAGGAAGAGGCGGGAGGCGGAAGTGGGGGAGGGGCAGCGGCGGGCACACTCGCTCTGCGCTCGCCCGGCGGCCGGAGGCAGCTCCGTGGAGCGCGACTACTCGCACTTGCAAGGCCGACAAAAAGTTACCGGCACGCATCCTTCCTCCCTCCTACCAGCCGCACTCCTCCGCGCACCACCTCGCCACCGACGCCGCGCACGGTCTGCGCCAGCTGCGCTGCACTTGCGGCGCCCCCGCCCAACGCAGACCCGCTGCGGGCACCCGCACGGGCTCCCTGCCCACGCATCTTGTGCTCTCCGACTCCCGGGCAGCGCCCACGCAACCACTACGCGCACGCACCCGTTCCCCAACTCGCGGCACCCTCGGCCGCACTTGCCACGCTTATGCGCGCACTTGTCTGGCCGGCGCACGCTGAAGAACGCAGGATGGGGACCTGCAGAAGGGGGGAGGGGCACTGACCCCATGCAGCCCAGCGAGGCAGGTGCGTCGCAGGGGACGAGCCCCTGACCCGGGAATTCACCCTGTTGCCCCTGATTCCTGGTTTCCGGAGAAGGCAGAGCCGCCGCCCTAGCTACCAGTGCATTGGGTGGGGTGGACCAGGGATTGGGCGGATCAGGCCTGGAGGGGGTGTGCAGCTGTGCCGCGCCCCTAGACGCCGGCAAGGAGCCAACACCTCCTCGGTGCTAAGGGGGTTGCTGGACCTCCGGTTTGGCAGGAATGGAGGTGCCAGGAGGAAACTGCGGGCGGAGGAAAAATGCTTTCCCCCTTCGCAGCACATCCCGGCTCAGAGGAGTGCTAGCAGTTTCCAACCTAGCAGCTCCTGGACCTAGACTGTGTTCGCACCCATTCCCTTGTAGCCCGAGCTCCGGAGCTGTGATGGGGAACGGCCAGTGCCCGGGCTGTGTGTGAGATGTCCGTCCGAGATGACTCTGGGTTGGGGGAATCACTCGATAATTCATTCAACAAACAAGAGAAACTAGCACCTCCCTCTCGCTCACCGCCCACATTAAAATGCACCTCCATTTCCTGTCGAATCTCTTTCCTAAGTAACTTTCCAATCCACCATTCCTCTCCGTTTCCACCACCCTCTCTTGGCCCTCCACTACAGTAGCTTCTATCTATTTTTTCTGTGCACTTTGGCCCTGTCACACTCCATTCCCCACACAACAGTCAACTGTCACTTCAGAGCACTAGGATGTTGTGCCACCCTCAGCTCAAATCCCTCCATTGTTAGACAAAAATCCAGGCACGGAGTCTTGAAGAAATGAGTTCAACCAACAGAAAGGGAGAGGGGCATGTGTAAAGAGATGGACAGAAGTGTGGAAAACCATATCAGGTTTTCCTGTCAGGGGAACAGCGTGCTACAAATACTAAGTTACTGTCTCTTCTATTATGTTTTGGGACCTCCAAACAACCCCGTGAGATAAATACAGCAAGCAGCTCTCCCACTAGTTTACCAGAATGGAAATTAGGTTGTGGGAGGTGACAAATTAAGTAGTTAAGAGCTCCACCACTGTAGTCAATCCATTTTGGGTTGTAAACCTACTGCAGTCTCTGTCCAGCTGGGAAAGCATTTAACTTCTCTGATCCTTGATTTTCTTTCTTATGAACCAGGAATAATCAAACCCTACCTTTTATAAGATAATTCATACAAAATGCATTGTACAGGACTTGGACGCTTCAGAGATACTCAATGAACCTTAGCTGTTTTGAGAGGAACTGCGCTCTGCCACCAATTTCTGAAATTATAGAAAGGGAGTCCTAACCAGCACTGCTACAGAGCTTATTATGTGCCAGTTACTTCTATTATAAGTGCTTACGTATATTAAGTCTCTTAACACTCCTATGAGATAATTGCTATCGTTACTTTACCAGTACAGAAACTGAGATACAGGGAGGTAAAGGAGCATGTTCAGGGTCCTACAGCTCAATGGAGCTGGAATTTCAACCCAGAGACTGCTGGTAACCACTAGCCTAGACTATTTCTTTTTTACCCTGCTGTAATTTTTATCTTCCAAGAAATATTTTAATAACTTTGATTCCTATTTCTCATTAATGGATAGATGAAGAGATATGTGGTCCATTTTCTAGCACAGAAGAATGGAATCAAGCCAGGAATACAGTAGATGGAGCTCAGCTCCCAAAGTCACCTTTCCCATGTTCCCCCTGGGAACAGGACTCCATGGATTATTTTGAACTCAAGATGATGAAAGATCGGGAACCTCCGCTCCTTCTCTTTGTCAGTTGTTTGCCACAAGAATAGTCAGAGGCAGGGGGTATCCAAGCTGAAAATAATTCAGGCTGCTAAGCTGGAAGTGCATCTCTCAAGAGAAAGACCCAGGCAGCAGGCCAGGAGCTGGTGGCCAAAGGAGTTGAAAAGAGCAGAAGAGTAGATGGCTTGATACTCTGGCTCCCATCCAGGATGCAGAAAGCTGGGAAGAGCATTGTTAACACACTAATAACAATTGTTAAGGAGTGTTGAGTAATCTACAAAATCATAACTGCTGTCAAAACCATCAGAGTTGAGGTTGCAGAGTGAACAATTAACCTGAATTTCAAAGCGGGAACAGGAGCCTCCAAGAAGAGATGGGATATAGGCACTGGATCCTTGTAAAGCAGGAGTTGAAGTCTCTATGCAGGAGGGCAAGAAGAGTTCACTAACATTTTCACTGAATTGCTAAATGCCCAGTTAGCCCATTGCGGCTAACTTGAAAGCAAAAAACCCATGGGAATTGCAGACAATGAAATAATGAGAGAAACAACAAAACCCAAACTTAATTCAACTCCTCACAAGACTGACTCAATTCCTCACACTAATGGCCCAACAGAAGAGACAGGACAATTTCTAGGCATAAATAATGCTATACTCAACTGTACTCAGTTTTTACTGTTCTATGTACTGTATGTCCAGAAATCAGTAAAAAAAAATCACTACACACATACACATTAAAAACCAAAAAACCTTGGGCTATGGCTGTGGCTGAGTGGTGGAGTGCTTGCCTAGCACGTGTGAGGCACTGGGTTTGATTCTTAGCACCACATAAAAATAAACAAATCAAAATAAAGGCATGCTGTCCATCTACAACTACAAAACAAAACCCTTCTGTCAAGAGACAAAGCAATCAGCAGGACCAGATGCAAAACCCAGATATTGTAGTTACCTGACAGAATGTAAGATGATATCTACCTAACATGAAAATGTAGATAACATAAATGAACAGAAGAGGAATTTTAACAGAGATATGGAAACTATAAAAAGGAGTCGTGTGGCTGGGCATGGTGGCACATGCCCGTAATCCCAGTGGCTCAGGAGGCTGAGGCAGGAGGATCACAGGTTCCAGGTCAGTCCCAGCAAATTAGTGAGGCCCTAAGCCTCTTAGAGAGATCCTCACTCAAATAAAAAGGGTTGGGGATGTAGCTTAGTTGTAAAGTGCCCCTAGGTTCAATCCTTAGTACTAAGGGGGTGGGGGGAAGAGTCATACAGCAATGCTAGAAATAAACCCACATACCCCAGAGGTTTGAAGGACACTTTTGACAGACTGGTCAGTAAACTCAACACAGCTAAGGAAAGAACTGGTGAACTTAAAGACAGATCAAATCATAAGACTGAAGCTGAAACAGAAAGAGAAAAGTGAAACCAAACCAGAACTAACTCTAAGAGCTAAAATGTAAGTAATTCTGATTCCAGAAGAAGAGACAGAGAAAAAAATATATATGTAGATATAATAACCAGGAATTTTCCAAAAATAACGAAAGATATTAAACCACAGAGCTGAGAAACTCAAGGAATCCAAAAAAGAGTAAATACCAACAAGACAGTCAGGGACCACTATAGAGACAAAGGGCACATACTCCTGAGCTTTGGCTCATAGCCAAGTGAAAAATTTTAAAGAGATACACTTTTTCTGGTAAACAATAACAGAAAATTAATTGCCAGCAAATTAGCATTGGAAGAAATGGTAAAGGAAGTTCTGTAGAAGGAATAAAGTATCAGAGAGTAACCTGAATCTAAATAAAGAAGTGAAGGTCCTCGTAAATGAGTAGATAAAGGTAAATATAAGAGATATTTTTCTTTTCTTTTTTTTTTTAAAGAGAGAGAGAGAGAGAGAGAATTTTAATATTTAGTTATCGGCGGACACAACATCTTTGTTTGTATGTGGTGCTGAGGATCGAACCCGGGCCGCACGCATGCCAGGCGAGCGCACTACCGCTTGAGCCACATCCCCAGCCCCTTTTCTTTTTTTTAATCACCTTAAAAGATAATTGCTTGTCTTAAGCAAGAGTAACAAGGCATGGGCTGGGGTTCTGGCTCAGTGGCAGAGCGTTTGCCTCACACATGTGAGGCACTGGGTTGGATCCTCAGCACCACATAAAAATCAGTAAAAAAAATAAAAATATTGTGTCCATGTAGAACTAAAAAATTTAAAAAAAATAGCAAGGCATTGTGGGTTTATAGCACATATATTGTAAAAGTAAAATGTATGTCAAAAACAATATAAAAATGATAGGTTTGAGAATTGGAAATATGCTATTGAAGAGCCTTTATCTTACATAAGAAGTAGTATAATATTATTGGAAAATAAACTGATTAAAGATATATATATTATAGCTGGGTACAGTGGCATTCTCCTGCAATCTCAGTGACTTATAAGGCTGAGGCAGGAGACTCTCAAGTTTGAGGCCAGCCTCACCAACTAAGTAAGAATCTGTCTAAAAAAAATTTGTATGTTATACATATGTACATATATATAGGTATATATAATAAATGTAAAGGTGACCACTAAAATTTTTTAAAGTATTAAGTAATAAGCCAATATGAACAGATAACATAAAATCATAAAAATGTTAAAATGTATAACCATGTGAGTGATAGACATGTTAATTGCTTCACAATAGTAACCATTTTACTATCTACAGATTGTATACCTTAAGTATATACACAATAAAATTTATTTCAAAAAAATTAATGACTGTGAAAAAGTAAGTAATTATATAAATAAATATTACATAATAATAAATGTTGGGAGGCATTCTACCTGGGCCTCTTGTGTTCAGTGTGCCTAGCTGAATCTGTTGAGATGCCAAGGTCATCTTTTTCACCTGGGTCCTTGCTCAAAATTGTATAATACAGCAGGAAATTTTGTGAGATGAGAATGTCT